ATTAGGTCTCTGTGACCATGTCCTTCCATTGTTTGACTCTTTGTACTACGCGGACTATCACGCATAGCAGAATGATGCAGTGAAGACTATCACACTAACCTGTTACCCTTGCTTGCTAAAGATTTTACTTTGTAAACGGTATACCACCCAGGACTTGCATAGGCAACCTTCACAAAGACGCTTAGCGTAGTGGTAACACACGCACCAGAACGGAACTCCTTTTAACATCAAATCAAAAGAAAGTCATTTCTGGGGAGCAGAACACGCAAATACATGTATCTGAGGTATTTTGCATGGAGAGTTCACAACGACTGCCGAATGCTGACACATGGAATGCGAACGTGGAACAGCGCATCTTCTGTGTGAAATTGATCCACGAGGGCAAGTTGACGCAACGGCATGGGTTAATGAAGCGATTCTGTACGGACCGCAAACTTATATATGCATGTAATGGCCTACGTCTGTTGCGGCGCGGAATCCCAGTGCCGGTCCCGACAGACGGGTATGTGCGATCAGCAAAGGAGGTAGCGTATATCATACGACTTCGTTGCTGACGTACGTTCCAGGGGGTAACGTGCACGAACATTATCCCTATTTCTGTTGTCTCTTCGTCAGCTTTATCTAATATCAAGTTTAGTTCATGGGGCGCGTTAAGTAAGCGGTTGTTCTCCGTACCCACAGCTATCTTGGTCCCCATAAGATCCGATCAAATTTTCTACAGACAGCAACCATTTAAATGACACAACCGCTGATTACGTTCTAACAGCGCTGTCTAGAGGAGAATCACATTTCCATGATGTGGTAGCGAGGGGCCAGCATTATCCGCTATTTGTATGGGAGTTAGTCGTACTGATCCTTCCAATTGCCATCCGATAACGCTGCTTTTATTGCTTTTAGATAGCGAGGCTGCACTGATTAAATATCTAAAATTAAAACATAGTGGTTCGGCAGACACATGGCATTCGTCACCAGCACTCCTGAAGCACAAACTACTAATTGCCGCAATGGCCGAACTAGAGCAGTTAGTGGTGGAGGGGAAGCCGTCTGATCGATTAGCCCAATGAATTCTTCTGTATAAACGTTAGAATTTTGGCAATGGCGATTCGTACTAGTGTTGAATAGGCTACTTTCTACACGAGCGGCGGTTGACAGTGAGTCCGGAAATCAATCTGCCGCAAAGTAGGTGGAGTGCGGTGCACCACAAGCCTCAGTACTAGGTCCTTACATTATCTTGCTTCCTCTAATTGATCACGAAACAATGATTACTCCCGAAATTCTTTTTCTTCACTGATGATGGTATGTCGAGAAATCAGATGAACAGATTATCATGAATAGCTGCAGTGCGACATAGATGCTATTCCGAACTGGTCAGTTCAGATTACCCTACCATTCAATGTACAAAATGATCACCTTGCTCCAATATTTCATGAAATAGAGTACACGTATTAGCTTGAGGCAAACGTAATGCAGATTATTGGCTAGGGTCGCAACCCTGGTGTGCTAGTACACGAGGACCTTATTTGCACAAAATAGGCTGAGGCAACCAGCATGTCTGCCTGCTGCGGAGGGCATTCGTTAGATTTGACTCTTAAATTATCCCGCGGACACACAACACGTAATTCGCAATTAGTTTAAATGCTTTAGCAAATATTGGCTCATTTGATAAGAACCCAAACGCTGTGTTCTAGACATAATTCAGCGCGTGGCAATATAGGATTATAAGGAATAGCTTGGTCTATCATACAATTGTGAACAGATGGGCCAAACAAGTGCTCCAGATAGCTAATGGGAAATTGTTTGTCTAGCTTGATTGATATACACGGATTGTTTAGATGTCATATGAGTTAATCATCGTTCATTTATCTGACTCAAATGAAGAAATTCCTTGCATCTGATGTGTCCTTAGTTATGGACGTGAACGCGTAACTTTACCGCGGAATTTGGCTTACCAGAGGTCGATAATTTTCGGCGAATTGTACTGCTGAATTCACGCTTTTACTTTAAGGACTGAGTTCTGTAATATGGTGTCAGATGAGACCAAGATGTGCCACACCGGCGGCGCTCGGATGCAGTTTGTCTCACCAGATTACATTCACACGCCTGCACCAATAAAAGTGGAGGCTCGGAACTTGGCGAGAAAATGGTGTCTATGTAGAATCAAGTGGGTGGATTTCTCCATTTTACTAGTTTGGTAGAACAGGCGACGGCGCATTTTCAGACCATATTACGACACGCAGCCGGGTAATCAGCATCAAATCTTTATGCATTTCTTTCAATTTTCGACATTCCCCCTAAGCCTCACAGCTAGGCAACTTACGCATAATTCTCATCTCCCAACATACTCCTCACCTATTTCGATGACGATGGAATTAAGTCAAGACAGGCAGTTTAGCGAGTTGAACCGAAGATCATGAATTTTTCACCTACATCCCAAAGACCCCACATGGCAAAGGAATGTAAAGCAAACTTGTGTTCACTACCAGGATGGATAATGGGCCGCTTGCAAAAGCCGCTGAAGACTAGATTGTTGGGGCTCAACCCGGGGGCAAGCGAGAGCACACTGCGAGTGGCCACCACACATATTACGCGATAGCTTATACGGTAGGCCTGTGGCACTATTGGCTCAGTGCACCTGTACGTGAAAACACAAGCGATTTGTGCGTTTGCGATCCATTGCACATAAATGAATCGCACCGCATACCATGATTCATTCTGCACGCCAACCAATTTCACATTGGCTGTCTAACGGCTGATTGGTTGAGGTGGCTTGGCGTAGTTTGGGTGTTCGAAACTATCGGAACATACTCGACTGAGGAAATGTTGACCGACGACAGCTTTTCACTATCTATTACACCAAAGGATGTGCTTTATCTTAGACGTGAGTTCAAGTTCTGATTCCTTTGTCTTACCTTTAATAGTTCCTAAGCATGCTTTAAATTTCTGTTTAGTCCTTAGTAGGGCGCAGTTCAAAATGCTGATACCCAAGTTGATGTTTTCAATCCTGCTTCTTCCATACATACCAGAATGTCTAATGTTTAGGTAAAAACGAGTTATGATCTAACATGGGATGTCCGATCTTTGCAACGATTGATCCGGTAGAAAAGGTGTTATGTTGTAAATTTAGTGTTTTCTTCTACTTTTTACTGGATGTTGGTAATTCGGATCAATCGGACTGTACTCTAAATGCAGGGAATACGTTGTAGCTAAACCTGGGACGTGTTGTTTGAAAAATGACACTTTTGTCACTGAGCACTTGATATGGGTGATCAGGGCTTAGCAAAGCTGCCATAAATATTGAGCTGCATTCTTGTGTACCCACCACATGTTTGAATGTCAACGCTCAATCCACCTTTCTTTGCCAATAGTGATGGAGTTAAGGAATCGCATGTTGTCTAAGATACTGTTATCTATACAGGCACTGCACACTAGTGAAAGTGTTATATCGCCTTCTGCCTTATTTGATGCTGATTGATACACCCGGAACCTGTCAAATTCGAAATCCTGAGCAACTGCTGTAATGCCGGTCCTAAGTTTGTGGGAGTTTGTTCGGGAACAGTGATGGTTATGAAGGAGAAAAAGCTTCGGAAATGTGGCATTGATACAGAATATAATTGCAACTTGCAGTTTATCCATTTCACAATCTTGGTGGATGGATAGGCGTTGAACAAATTCTCGCTTTTCTGCCTACTTCCAGCTCTATTTGCTTCAACTGAAAGGTCATTCATCTCCGATAGTGAAGGAATATCTCAGTGGAATCATGGAATGGTGTATTTGTTACAGGCATTAAAACAATGGCCTAATGTCGTAACCATGGAAGCATAATTAGCGTAGTACAGTAGAAGCATGTGTGGATACGGAAAACACATATGGGCACTTGCAATACCTTGATAGATGATGCATGGTGGAATACGCAAATTAGTTCTTCCGAAGCAAACACATGCATTATTCCACTGCCCATAAGTTGAGGGGACATGTGAGACAAGGAAGCAGCATCAATCTAAATTCTAATTAGCAGTGTTGTGCGCAGTATGGGGAAATCAAAGGTGAAAAATTCCATAAGTAACGTTGGAAACCAACGGAGGTCTTTCTGAAGGAAAAGGTAGCGCGTGTAAATGCAGTCACTGTAGGTTTAGCACACGCGCACAATTTGCTTGCACTGTGCCGTACCTCAAAATTTCGGTAAATTAATTCATTGTAGATGATGGAACAATCCATAAAATTGTGTTTATTAATTAAGCAACATAAGTAAGGAGATGCAGAAAGTCAACAGATCATTTAATGTTTAAAATTAAATGAAGTGCGCCCAAGCACTAGCAGCAAACTTTACGTTATTAATCATTGCCAGAATTCAACTGGAGAATTCATGGAAAAGCTATCTTCAAAATCACGGAACACATTTGAAACCGATCGGGAAGTCATGATTTCAGAAAACTTGGTAGATGACCGCTTAATGTATTTATGGCAATAGACAACGTTTCGCTTTGACACAAAAGCTTCATCAGGCGAAGTGAATTATCTTAACATTGTCATTTTATAGCGATCATGGCTAAGCTACATGCAGAGACGAATCAATTTGCAGTTCATCAACGAATGATTACAGCGGTCAAAGTCACTATGTTCGTGGGTACACTGTAGTTTGTTTCCGTCAGGGTCAAGTGGGGAAAAGAAATTGCCGGTCCGCGGAAAGTTACATGTGTGGCTAACAATCTTAACTGAACCGTTGTAAGGAACTTTGACATTGATAGAACTTGGCTTTTGTACTTTGGAATTCGGTGGAGCGTGAGTCGATAGTTCATTCCGATTTGGGATTCATCCATCGATGCTTATCAAGCTGGTCGGAGTAAGACTGGACGCCAGGCACTAGACAGCCCTACTCCGTCTATTCGATTCACGCAGTTGTTAGCCTTGGTTATTTCTATAGCCTCAGCAATCAGCCTTTGTTTGGCTGATCGTAATCCCTTCCTGATAACTTTTACATTTTCGAAGTCAATTTTGTGCCCCATGTCTTACGCATGCATTGCTATTGCCGAATCTCAGCGTAGAGCTCCATACTCTAACTCATTTCGCGGATGTCGTGATAGATGTCGCCTGTGTTCTGAAATCCTTGTACGTAATTCCATCGTTGTTTGGCCTATATACACTTGCGTACAATCATTACATGGAAATTTGTAAATACAGCTAGTCGTTCTATCTAAGGGTAGTGAACTTTTAGATGCACCATCCAATATTGCTGCATGGTTACCTACTAGTAGTTTTCCAGAACCATGCCAAACCGTTGCTGGTAGCTCCGTGGGCTTGCATCTGTTGCATATTTTTTCTTTTTCCTTTTATGTGTTGAGGAGCAGTAGCCGAGGCGTCGTACATGTCTAGCTAAAGCGAATAATGAAGACGTAGTATACCGATACTACGTCGCTAAAGCTAACAAAGAAGAAACTAGTGCTAAGGATTTTCGAGCGCTTTTGCTAAATCCATATATGTTGTATAACTCCCAAACCACATGAATCACACCAGACTAATGAACCGAGTAAATGGAATATTTGAGGTGCAGGCTAATTCTTGTGGAAGCAATGGATTTCTGATAAATTGATGTTGCTCCTCTACAAATTTCTTGGAATCGCCTCTGTTGAAATGGTTTTTATGACTTCGGAAAGACCGGGGTAAGGGATATTCGGTGGTTGTCGGATTTCGCCGAATGCGCATAGTTTCCTTCCACCATTAACTGAACTGACGACACCGTGATTCCAAATTGCTGAAACATTGTTGGAGAAAATGTTTGAGAGGTTTGGTCGAAATCTTGGATTTCATCTTAAGTGCCTATGGGTGGATACGTCCCGGCAGAGGAGGGCTAGGCCACTGTAAATACATTTATCGCTTCAGAAAACGTGTAACCACAAACGTGTTACGACCAAGTCCTGAGGATATCGCAAACTCCATAATCAGTATTGGTGACAATATTTAACTTTCCGACTTTTCAGCAACGGAGCCGGTCCACAATCCTGCAATATGTACAGCAGCAGCACTCCTGTCTACCTATTTAGGGAATCTTGCGTACCAGTCTTACCCAAGGAGTGGCTGGGTCGTAGCCCGCTCTGCATTGAATGGAGGCACTCTCTGAGCCTATCCCGGCCACGAAGACCAGGCGAACCGTCTCCCCGACTCCCCATCCAAGAACGATGTCCTGTATCTTAGAGCCAGTAATGGAGGTGGAGGGCGTTATACAAGTGGGCGCCTTTTCAGCGTTCATAGCAGGCGCTGACAGAGGAGGTTATAAAATAATCAACATAGGATTTATGGTAAAGCAACATGCAAAAATGACACAGAACATGGAACCGATTCACAGTATTGAACAACCAAATAAAGTGCAATAACTTTGTGCAGATTAAAAATACCTAGATTAATTGCAAGTTGATTTAGCTCAACCTTGTTGAAGAAGCATCATGAATGCAACATCAACCACAATATGGAGGCCTATAACTAAATATGGAGTCAGAAGACGAATATTGTGGGATGACACTCTCATTACATGCATACTCGTCGGCCACATACAAACAACAAACAAGGAATGCAAAACTTCACCTGAAACCAGCTAGTGATCAAGCGTTTTCCGAATGGTGCGTTGGATGCTGAGTGACATTTGGTTTATCATGGCAGCGTGCCACGCCCCAATAGGAAAACTCTAGCTCAATAATTGATTTCATGTTAGGTTGGTTTGCATTCTTTGTTAGTTGATTGCATGTGACCAACGAGTATGCACGAAATGACAGTTCATCCTGAAATCTTCCTCTTCTTGTATTTGTATTTGGAATTATAGACGGAACATCATATTTCAAACATGGAGTAACTCCGTTGTCGATCTTCCGGCAGCTTATCGTTTACAGAGCTCGCACTATGTTGAAGAACGCTGGAACGTAGAATCGCCAGAGACTCGTAGTCCCGTCTAGAATTAACTGTTCTGATTTATGATGTGGTCCGCCTATCAAGTGGAGTAGTAAACACACTTGTGAAACTTCTTACGCCCTGAGTAATTTTAATTTTGGGGAGTGGCGCTGGAAAAGTATGTAGCCACGTCGTCAGAGTTAGGGGTTTTTTCCTATGTGCCAGCATGGCTTGTTCTACAAAGTTGTTCTCATATAATATCACCTGGAACGGACTTGGAGGCGTGGAGTAGTTAGGACTTGGCAGCTGTTCTTTTTTTGACTTTACGCTTCTTCATGTTTCGGCTACTATTTTCAGATTTGGAGTCTAGGGCGCCGGGTCTGGATGAGACTCTTTCAAAAGGAAAGCATTTAGGAAGTTAAGTTCCTTCGACAACTTCCACCAGTTTATTGCATTTTTTCGTTAAAATAACTAAGCGCCTGAAAAGTGTGACAGCACTATATTCAGCGCAGAAGCAGATGGACTTGCTTTATTTTTCAGCTCCTTCGTTTCGCTCGCATATAGACGAAATCACGTGGCATTCACACCGTAGCGGATTTATCAGGTTGCCACTGACACGTGTGGAACCGTTACTTCAAAATTTTGTAGCGCTACGCATCAAAGCGTGTTCGATGCGCCGCCATTTCATGTACTTATCTGTTCAGGCCGGATTAGGTATATTCTGCCAGATAGAAATTGTGTGTATCAATTAAATTTCTTGAAAAGCGATGTTATTAAACCTTTTTGCACTTTGATGGGATCAATCACCTACCCGTGTCCCCCACTGCTCAGAAATCAATTATTTAGCTATTTACTCAATGCTGTCTGATACATTAACTGATCTTCGCGGAAGAATCTAGTTCATGATCGATTTGCCGTTTGTGAATGCTCGGTCACCAAGAGCTTTGTACGACGTTCCCATGGGGACACGTGGCCCCCGGTTGGATTGTTTACATGAGGCGATCAGCATGCTCGCAGTCTAAGTCAGCCCCAATTTAGTTTCATTGGTGTTCGTTATTAGTATGTCACCTTTCCAACCATCAACTAAGTGTTTCTATAAAAGAATATCGTGCACATTTTCCAAAAAGTTCATAGACGTACAGACAGCGGTGTAGCCGGTGGAAACGCAGTTATTGATCTGCACAATGAGGGAAAGTGCAAATTACACTACAAGCTGGAGTCCAATGTACCCGAATTGTACTATTTCAAACCTCGATATGGCTGCCTCGATCCGGGGCAAGAAGCTAAGGTTATTGGTGAGTCGAACTTGCAAATCCACTCATATATTCTGTTCGTAGTGTATTCACTCTCGTACGATCTTCCTCATCCGTCAACCGGTAAGCAAGAGATACTAGTTAGAAGCATGATAGCGAAGAACGCAAAAGATGAGGGCTTAAGCCAACTGGTAAGTAGATGCTTTGAAATTTGTTCACCATCCATTACTTCTTGTGCTTAGTGGGAGAATACCAACCCAACACAAATTCGGACACACAGACTAAAATGCATTCCTTTCGAGAATGGGGAACTGTTTATGGAACCGAACCGCGAGCTTATGTTTGAAGGTACTCCCTCATTCTGGACAACTTCTAGTTTGAGGTCCATTCGATTTACCGTTTTCGTCCACAATCCACCTGACTAACCGATCCATCGACTGCATACAATTTGATACACTAACATCGTCTACTGACCTTGTAGTTTTTCCACCCGATGGATTCATATGGCCATATAACGAAATGGATTTGATTGGTAATTCCATCCAATCGTGTGATGATATAAACCTTCCACCAAGTCATTCGGAAACCACTGAAAGCAGGTGATAACAATGCAACCAGCGAATCAATCAAAATACAAACAGCAATGTTTCCGATCGATAGACCGCAACCTACATGGGAAATGGTATGTGTAATTTTAAATTCTGTAGTATCAACTTCACTGTTCATCCTTCTGCAGTGGTCCGCCGCCCCGAAAAAGGAAACAATAATCAAGTGTGTGTACAACACACGAGAAACCTCACCGTCTGTAAGTGTTTCGATTTTCTATTCTTTGATTTCTAATAAGCAGCGGGGTGCGTAAATCACGTGTCATAATTGTTCCATGCGTGTAACCTCCATGATTGAGAGTTCGTGCCGGATTCCACCGGAATACGGGGCCGTGTTAACATCACTTCAGCACAGCTAGAAGAATGCAGCTGAAGTACCCAATGTATGGGATCGTAATTTTCGTTAAAGATGACTCAATATTATGACTGCGGCTCATTGGGCCTAAGGTTATGTTGGTGAACGGCCGCATTTACGGAATCCTCCTTTCAAAACGGACAACAATTTTTGTTGCATTAACTTCAAATGAGATTGGTGCAGTAGGGGGACCGTAGATTTGCAACTGTTGTATATAATTTCTTTTGTCCTTGTGACGCCGGTTCATTCGATTTCTGATTGTAGGTCACAGATTTCCAAGCAATGAAAAACGCTCTTCAGGCTGTTGAATCTGTCAAGAGCAATTAACGCACCGCCTTGGAAGATTCGATGCACTAAATTAAGGCAACTATTATGTTTTATTTGTTGGGCACCTCCCACCTGCTCCCTTCGAGTACTTTGTGTAAATGTTAAAAATCACCTCTGCGTTGATTTTTCTCAAAAATCCCGAGTGTTTTACTGCATTAACTCAACTTTCCACAACATTTCAAATGCAATGATTAGCGTATTGATTCGCACTTTTTTTCATTGCGTTTCCTCAGTAGTTACCAGCCGCATCTTTGTTTTGGTTGCGGTTGCTTCACGGTGGATTTTGGAGCTGAAGCTGCCTGCTCACTTAAAGCATACCAATTTTGCACAATGTCGAAGGTCATCACGGACAAGTTCCTATACTTGAGACAATGAAGTTTTGGATCAAAGTCAAGAAATCACCTTTACTTAACGGAGGCAAAAATTACTAGAGCTTGTATGTTCAAGTTTTCCACGAGTAGAATGTGATTGTTAGGTTGAGCTAGAACGCTTCTCAAAGTAGTCGCGATTCCGCTGCTCATACGCATGACTCACTGATTTAAAAGACAAAGGCTGCGAATACTTTTTAATAAAAGAGAACGGCTTGTTGGGCGGAGCCTGGAATACTAGTCGGTATGCAATGACACGTAATATGTGTCAAATACGACAGTATAGAAGTCGGAGGAGACTGAACCCAACGTATATTGTGCAGGCTACAAGAATAGGAAGCGAATCAGACAGAGCGAGAAACGTGCAACGAGGTACTCACCAAAACGGTTTGTCACAACGGACGTGCAGTCAGTAAAACAAATGGACGTTTCGAAGGTTAAAACAACCATAAAATCCAATGTTACAAGCTGCTGAAAGCGCATGTTTTCTGTTGCACTACAAGGGCCTCCCCCTAGAAGGCTGAAGGATGGAAGCCTTCGGTAGAGTTGTTAGTGG